ATGTGACCTGAGCCAGCTAGGTGTGCATGTTTCAAAGGAAGGCTTTTCAGAACCCACAGGATGAATGATCCTTATCCGGGGAGATGAGATGGCATTGGTGAAGCCAGAGACTACAGTGGAGGGGGGTGAGTGAGAGCATGACCATCAAAGAAAACGAAAGTAGTTCTCTCTCTCTCTCTCTCTCTCTCTCTCTCTCTCTCTCTCTCGTGTGTGTGTGCACGCGCGCATGTGTGTGTGTGTGTGTGTTTTGCCGGGAAGAAGTGATGACAGATGAGATGAGAATTGAGTTGCAGCATAAAAAGAGACTAAAAAAACCGACTTTGGAAAGATTTGTTAAGAAGTCTGCTCTTTGACCAGAACTGGGATTCTTAACTCTTTTTTGTGCCATGGACCCCTTCGGCAGCCCAATGAAACCTATGAAATCCTTTGAAGGATAATGTTTTTAGTCAAATAAAATACGTAAGATTAAAAAGGAAACCACATGCACTGAAGTGGAGATTTCAAAATATTATAAGCAACTTTGTAATATAGCAATATAAGTGCTTCTCTAGTAATGACATTAAATAGAATCTAGCAATGGGTCTGATGAATGCAATTCCAAAGGTCTGTTTAGTATAAGCAATATTTTGAGCTAAATGTGTCATATGACAAAAAATATAGTGTAGGTTATGGTTTGTTGCCTTTATACCTAATTAAAGAAAATTCTGTTTCAGAACAAGTTTGTAGAAATAAAATTCTCACTATTGCCATCTAAATTCAGGAGCCTCCACAATTCTGCCCATACTCTCCAAGTAAGAACTGCCAACCCAGAGCATCATGCGCCATTTGAAGATTTTAGTAGGGAGCGAAATGATCCAGTTCCCTTACTAAGGGCCCTCTGTCTACATAGGAAGCCACAGGGAATTGTTTGTTGTATTCACTGGAAGAGTCTTGCAGAGAACATCCTTCTGGTCAAGTTTTTATAGTGTCCTCTTTGGGAGGACTCTGGCTGACATGCTCTAGCTCTCACAGTGGTGGTTACACGACTATGGGTTTGTCAGAAAAGGGTGCATTGTACTCTCTCAGTTATATTTCAATAAGCCAGACATTGTAAAATGCAATCAGTCAAATCAACCAATGCTTGTGGTCCGTTTGAAAACAGACTGTGTTAGAAATTGGAGTGGGAACACAGAGGCCAGTTTACTAAGTCTGGACCACTGTTATCTGCTGGTAGAGCACAGTGGTGGGATGGTCTGTCTCCCAATTCCGTTCCTCCCATCACAGGGGACCCCAAACCATGTGAGGTGAAGAAAAGCCCCTTGGGGTTGTGGACTTACATTCTTGTTTATGACTTTTGCAGGGCAGGGGGGGTTCCTTGCTAAATTAAGACTTTGAGGAACTCTACTGGCAGCTGTCTTTCTTCAGCATTTATTCCAGATGGAGGCACCAATATTTAGTAAAATTGGCCAAAGCAATTCTTTACATTAAAAAAAAAATTTGAAAAGGGATTGGCAAAATGGACATCTATGATTAGTATAGAATGGGTGAGAGGAAAAGTGAAAATGCAATTAATATGTTGAAAAGATACCTTATGTTTCATTAAATGCTGCTTATTTGCTCCTTGTAGACAGAAAAAAAATATTTTGGGGTATAGAGGAGAAGATTGGTGGGACAGAATCTCCTATTAGGAAGGTAGATTATGTTAAATCTTTTTTTTTTTTGGAACTCTTTTTTTTTTTTTTAAAGATTTTATTTATTTATCTTTAGAGGGGAAGGGAAGGAGAGAGAGAGGGAGAGAAACATCGATGTATGGTTGCCTTTTGTGCATTCCCTGCTGGGAATTGGCCTGCAGGTAACCGACTTGCAACCCAGGAATGTGCCCTGACTGGGAATCGAACCGCGATCCTTTGATTCGCAGGCCCTCGCTCAATCCACTGAGCTACAACAGCCAGGGCCTGGAACTCTTTTTTAATCAAACATTAGCCTCTTCCTGTTTGTCTTGCCTGGGGGACCGGAAGTGCGTGGAAGAAGTTAGAGAGGAGCCCTCCAGAGGGGACCGTCACCTCTGACTGCAGTCAGGGTCCACCTTGGCTACCAGCCTCAGCACTTTCCTGCAGTCAGTCACGGTAGATGCATGAATATCGCCTGGCTCGGCCCTTTCCCTAAGGCCTGGCAGACATGGGGAGCCCCCCAAATCCTGGCACTGGGAGATCCCACACTATTCCTCAGGGCACTAATTGGGCAATGTTACCACTAAACATCCAGTCTGGCCCACAGTATTGGTTCCCTGGATAACCACCGGGAAGGACTCTGGGTCCCTCCCTCTCTTAGGAGGTATCCCTGGCAGTGATATCAGCAGCTTTGAAACCCCCAAATTGGGATCATGTTGGTGTGGCAATCGAGAGGCCTCATAATTCACCCCTGGACACCCCAGGCACTTTTGCTATTAATGCCCCATTATTAACTCCATGTGTGTCTAGTGTGATGACTTACCTGCTGGAACTCGGGACACTGGTTTATTTGGCTTTTCCCTCAGGCCTTCCTATCGGTTTTTGAGTACCGTAGTGTGACTTTATTATTCTTGATCTATTCTGAAATCTTAACATTTAAATCTTCTAGAGCCAAAACCGTAAACAAAGTCAGAAATGAAACAAATACAAATGAGTCTTTAGTTAATAGTATATTAACCCTTGGTTTTTAAAAGTGTCTTATCTGGCAAGTTTATCTGAAGCTTTGGTTTTTAGCATTTCAGTCACAGCGCTCCCTGGTGGGGGTGGCGTGCCAGGGCGAGGAGACCTTCAGATGTCAGCTGCTTCCGTATTTACAAAGCTGAAGGAGTAGGATGTGATTTTTGGCAAAGATCGGTCTTTACACTTTTTCATTCGCTTCCTTCTTTTGATTGTCAAGATTTTATCCTGTTATTCAGCAGAATATGGAGACTTCATCTAAAGGTGAAAAACAAAAATGACCTTTGAGGAAACTACTGTTTTGCAAATAAATGACCATTTCTTATGTAAACATCCTTATGTCAACTAAATACTCCACAATCATTCTACCAATTAACTACTATGTGTTCAAAAGGTACCTTTTAAGTAGATGAAAACTGTTTTAAGAAGACCTATTCATCCCACCAAAAATGTAAGAGGAAACGGATGCAAAATGTAGCACAGGTTCTCTCATAATTAAATGATTTGGAATATGGATTTTTCACCCCTAGAAGTCTTCAAGAAAGGGAATGAAACCCACTTTATTTAGAGTCAGAAATCTCTTGGGGCACAGAGTACCTCCAAGAGTCTGTTATTCTGAATTCTAATGTATGTTCATCCTTGTGTAAATTGGTGGTTTGAACTGCTTTACAGTATTGGGTATGAGCAGATAGAATGCTTCCTAAATCTCATTATTGCATTTACAATTATGACTCTGTTCTCAGAAGAGTATTATTATACCGTTGTTGATTGTTACTCATACTCGAATAGTCTCCTGGGAGGAACAATGCAAGCAACAATTAATTAAAAAATTGAAATGTGCTGTGCTTAAACTGCTAAAATAAATATTAAACTAGGCTTATAAATAGTGACTAATATGTGTTGTCTGCTAATATTGAAGAGAGTGGTGGGCAAGGGATGAAGTGTATTTGAATAGGGTGCAGGAATAGTTTGCCCTGTGGGGGCTTGTGATGGAAAGAATTTAAAGCAGTTCAAGTAACGAACGGAAGGTGTCGACTTTCAGTGTGGATTGTATCAGCAACACACAGGACCTTACAGAACTTCAGCCCCTTTGGTTCGCATACCACCCTTGCTCATTTAGCGATGCCCTTGACCAGCCATGGAAAAGAAAGGGAACATACTGCAGTTTCAATCGTTGTGGGGCTCAGGTTTTCTCTCAGCACTGCATATACACTCGGAGACATGGGAAGAAGGTCTGATGGAGACTGTGGCTCAGCTGAATCGTTTCGGCTTAAAGAAATAACAAGGTAAATATCGAACAGGATTAAAAAAAACCATAGCTCATGCTGTCAGAAACTCAGTTCTGGAACTTTATCTATTTGTCACAGTGAGATGCCTAACTCATCATTTGCTATCCCAGCATTCAGCCTACTATGAAATGTATGGCATATACAAGGGCAGCTTTGTAATTCCAGTCATGACAGACTATGGTGTGTCTTGAAGACTAGCTTTATGTATTAAAGAAAATGGGATATTGAGAATTAAAATGCTTTATTCTTAGTGAGATCTATTCTGCTGTACCCTTATGTTTCCTGTAGAAAAGCTTTTCTTTTTGGAGGAATTCAATCATATACGTTTTACATGTGACTGAGATTACTTACATTGTTGAGATGGGGATAAAAACTGAAGGAACATAACCTTTGTCTCCCCTTTCTGTTGGTCTTGAAACTGAAAAGGAAAGGCACAATGTTGGGAACGGTATTATCAGTGTTATTGATAAAATTAGAAAAAAGTCTAGAAAGATGTAAGTCATGTTAAAAAGAAGGGAGATAATACAATAGCTTAGTGATTCACAAAATATTTTAGTTGCATATTTTAGATAAGCATAAAATGTGCAAGAAGAGAAAAACACATCTGTTAGTGGGCCCAGTCTGACTTCACATATTAATGTCTCTAGAATACAGGAGAAAAATTGGGAATCAACTATATATCTGGCTTCTATGTTACATTTAAGTCTGATCGTGAGGACTGATTTATTTATGGGTTAGGGTGTTTGTAGTGATTCAGAACTTTTCATTAAAACTGATACCAATAATAATCATATAAATAGACAAGGTTTTGAAGCATAGACATCAGTGCTTCAAAAATCACAGTAATGTGCCAGCTTCCCCTTGGAAACACTCCCCAATTTCTCTCGTATACTATGTTGAACTTGTGCTTGATCCTACTGTAATGCGAACCAAAGTTTTCCAGCTGTCATTTGTTTCATTGACATTTGCTGTTTCACATGATCACAGGTAAAGACACTTAGGCTTTGATGTTGTTGCTTTATGTTGTTTTCTGTTTGTTTCAAAGGGGATGAAGTCCCAAGACGGTGACAGTCCTCTGTGAGTGACAGCTGTGGTGTATTCCACAAGACAGTGCTCATAGATTTGGTTGCCATTAATGAACATTCCAATGGATTTTTTTATACTTCCATTAAAGAAACAGAATGGTGAACTTATATTACAATTATGTAGATAATTTCATAAATGTTCTTTCCTGTAGTCGGCCAATATTTATCAAATGCTCTTTTTTGCCCGGTGTTATTTTAGGCCGTGAGCATCTAACCAGGAAAGGCAGGCAGGTCAGCACTTGTAGTTGGTAGCCCAGGAGGCGGGAGATGCCCCACTGGCGCCCTGGTTTCCTCCGGGACGAACAAACAATACCGAGTTGGGAGACTACCGTGGGGTAACAAATATATACGTAAAGCTTATAAACCCTGGGCTTCGTTTGCAAAAAACCAGACTTGCTTAACTTTTAATGACTTTCTAATCATTACCTTCTCTTTCTTCTCTTCTCCCCAGTCACAAAGTGAGGTCTGTGGTTCCATAAAAGGAAGGAGAAAACCAAAACTCTACAAGTGGCTATGAGAGGCTCCCACGGCCATGGGGAAGTTAATAACCTGGCCAGACTGTGGGGAACAAGTGGAGGCCAGGAAACAGTTAGGGCCTCTGGAGGAAGTTCTGAAGCAGAACTTCCTGAGGCAGCAGGCGGGTCTGCGGTGTCCCTGTAACCAAGCCGGTGGCTTGCAAAGCTCTACCCCTGGTGCAGAGCATCCTCCTCTTGGTAACAGATCTCTCACCCCAGGGCAAGATGGCAGCAGGAGGCAGTATGGCAGTAGGCACAGGCCAGGCTAGCAAGATAACTGGATAAGGGGAAAACCCCTCTTACCCACTCCGCGGGTCTCTGCGGGTACCTGATTGAAGGTGGGACCAAGGGAAAGCGGCACATGTGTCATAGAGGTCAGAGTGGCAGCAGGGGGGAGGTACAGGACCAGAGAAACCTGTCAGTCTAGCCAAGGGAAAGAAGGGGGTAGTGGGATGGGGGGGGTGGGTGTAGGGAGGATGGGCCCTCCCAGAGTACTCAGAAGTTTGGGAACTTAACTAAGGATTTCTGAGAAAGCACCTGGTCCCTCCCACACCTAAAGCTACTATAATCCCAAGGGAAGAAAGGTATAGGTCAGACCCATACTGGCCAGTGCCTTTGTGGGACCTTCTGACCCTGAAAGCCACATGGCTAATGGCAGCGCCAGCCCCATATGCAGGTTCCTGGAGGGAGTCCGAGGGCTGACACTGGCCAGGAGAAAAGCTGAGCTCTTTGGACGACTGCTCGGCAGTTCCCCAAGGACTGCACTTTAGATGGGAGAAGGAACTCTGGGCACTGCCTTTGGTTTTGGTCTGGCTGCGGTTGGCTAGGTTTTCCTCCAGGTCCCAGAGGGGATGGGCTCTGACACAAGAGTCTGCCATTCTCCCAGACTGTGCTACATTTGAATAAAAACCTCCTTCCTTTCTCACCAGCCTCTGCCTCTGGAATTTGCCTATGTGACAGCAGGCAGATGAACCCTCACTTTGTTTAGGTAACAGTTATAGCTGGTGAAGAGTCCTAGCAGTCCCTTTTTAGTAACTGCTGACATACCACTTCCTCATTAAGGTTTTGACCTCCACATAACCCTTGGATCTTGTAATGATCAAAGTAAACATAAAAAAAGGAACTTCGTTTACTTTTATCCAATACAAGGTCATTTTCCAAAATATCAAGAAGAAAAGTAAACAGAAAGAGCCTCACCTTCGTATGGCTGGGAGCTGTAGTGTTTACCGAAGGCTTTGTCTTTGGGAATGTCGGGATATAGGTACTTCAGAGGGTTTTCGGGAATGTTTTCAGCCATGATAACCTTGTAGTCTCGAAGGATGTCAGCGAATGGCAGAGCCGACAGCCGGCCTTTATTATAGGGTTCTACAGAGTGGAATCTTACTTCTCCTGGCAAAACAGAAAGCAAGGGAATTATCAGGTCTCTCGGGCGTTCTTCGTGACCTTTCTTCCTGCCCATGTGATCTGCATGTCTCTGGTTATAAAAGGATGCCGGCCCTTCTGGGCCGACTGGACAGGAGCAATCGCTGTGTGATAGAGGACACCCACACAGGCAGTGAGAAATTCGTGGTACACACTATACACTTTTGAAAACCGAAATACTGGTGACCGAACTCAATACTAATGTCGCAGGAATAAGCAATAATGAACATGTACCGTTTTCAGAGTGGTCCACCCAGGTGAAAGTTATTCCTCCAAGGTGGCTTTCACTGAATCTTAACAAAAAGGTTCCGGGCATCTTATCCTTTAGCAAGAGTCTTTCCTTCTCTTTGCTGACAAAGCCCATGACATACCTGAAGACGGAACAATGGACAGTTTTATCTTATCAAGTGCTTTAGTTTACTGCATTTGCATTTTGCATTTTCAGAAAACAGGCCTAAATTTATTTTTAGTGTAACCAAAAGTTAATGATATCTGGAATACTCGTATACAGATTAAAGTAAATATCAGCATTCTAAGTAGAATGTAAGAAATTGCAACTATTCCTCCCCCCACCCCCACGTGACACTAAACATGTAAAAAGAAAGGAAAAAACCAAAAGCAAACAAATAAAAACCTCATGAACTGATAGGGAAAATATAACCTGTAACTCACCCATCAATCCAAAGGGGGAGAATGTGTTTCTTAATTAGATCTAATATTGCTTCAAGCCAGGTCCAAAAGGTAAATGATTTGCCAGGTAAGTGTTCCTGTTAGCATAAACAAGTACAGCACAATAATTATTTCAATAGTAATGTTGATATAATAATTCAAGTTCCTTTTTTCAGTGAAAGATTTTCTTTGAGATGTTTTAGAATTTCTTTTCAAAATAACCTTAGCCAGAAAATCCTCAAAATCCAGATCGTGATAGGGCAACTTAAAGAGGACCACCGTTATAGCTTTACTGACCTACACTATGAAAAATGATAAACCCAATTTTGGCGAGGACACGCAGGAATATGACCTCTCATTTCTGGTCAGGACTATAAATCCAGACAAATTTTTCTATGAGGCCATCAGCCAATGTATATCAAAAGCTTTAAATATTCCTTTAACTCTTTACTCAACAATATTTTAGAATTTTTATCTGAAAGAAATATTTAGACAAGTAGAAAAAGGTATATACAAAATCCTAATTGTAACATTAAAAAGCTAACCAAAATTGTAAATGTTGATATCCAACTGGTTGTTTATAATGTATTTCCTATATCTTTCCAAATTAAACACATGTTGCCGTTGATATTAAAACAGTGTAATTGTCAGGTAGGAAAAAAGGGAGCACTGTTTTTTTTAAAACATATAAATGATATCCCCCCTTCCCTTGTTTGTACCTTGCAGAACTTGGACCAGGTGAGATGACCATCACTGTAGCTAGATTGGACTAAAATGAAAGAAAAGAATGAAAATTTTATTAAAGAAGTAGAATCTTTAATTTGGTGCTCAATGTAGATCCCCCATCTTTCAAGTATCTCTTATGCACCTGCTATGTGTTTACAATGTATTTAATACTAGCAAAAATATTTTATAAAATTTATGATCTAGGGGAGAATTCTTTTCCATGGAGGAGCTAAAGATAGCTTTAGGAAGAGGCTAGGTGTCTAGGCCCAAGTCTCCATGAATGGGCAGTAAATAAATTGTCAGAGGAGAAGGAGGAGCAGGAATAACATAGGATGAAACACAGTGGACATGAATATGGCTTACAGAGAAGACAGTGGGAGCAGCCTAAGGTTGGAGAATAAACATAAAATCAACTTGTATAAGACTAAGCCAGATTACCCGGAGCCTTGACTTACCATGCAAAGAATGGACCAGAGGTTTATTAATCAATAAGGAGCCATTGATTGCTTTGATCCAGGGAGGTAGAAGGATACAAGTGTTTCTATCTAATTTTCTAAGAAAAGTATGCTAATAGGAATACATTGATAATCATCTGAAAGTATATGGTGGCTATCTATGCTACATATTTAAAAGATTTATTCACCCACTCTCAAATATTTATTGATTTCCTACTACTGTGGTTTATGAATTAAATAAGGATCAAAAAGGATATTTACATTAGTAAATGTTATAATATTCTTAAAGACCTGATTTATTTAAATACCGATTGATCATAGTCACGAGAGGCAACCCAGCATCACCAGTGAGTCAAATGTAACCAAATCATACACATTTTCTTTCTTTCCTTTTTTTAAAGTATATTTTGTTGATTATGGTATTACAGTTGTCCTAATGTTTCCCCCTTTGCCCACCTCCGCCCAGGACCCCCTTCCCTCCAGTTCCCCCACCCTTAGCTCATGTCCATGGGTTGTACATGTAAGTTCTTTGGCTTCTCTGTTTGTATGCATCCTTGGCCCTACTTTAGCTAAAAATATATATAAATCCAAGTTTAACTTGGTTTTGGTGCTAAATGTGCTTATGCCAAACTTGTCAAAATATACATATCTTTTCCACTTCTTTTAGAGAAAGCTTCATGCCATAGTTACTACACGGAGTACCAATAGGTCTGTTTGGCAAATTTCAGAAATGTCAAAACTGGGATTTTCTTTCTTTTTTGAAAAGTATTTTATTTATTATTAGAGAGAGGCAAAGGGAAGAAGAAGGAGAGGGAGAGAAACATCCATGTGTGAGAGAGACATCGATTGGTTGCCTCTCACATGCCCCCAAATGGGGACCTGGCCCCCAACCCAGGCATGTGCCCTGACTGGGAATCAAACTGGTGACTCTCTGGTTCAGAGGCCAGCACTCAATCCACTGAGCCACACCAGCCAGGGAAAAACTGAAATTTTCTTGATATAAAGAATTATATCAATAATATAAAGTGCTACCTAGTGGTTTTTAATTTCTATTAAATTCTGTGGTCCTAGAATCACCTATTTTCTAGTTGGTTAATGACCATAATGATATTAGTATGAAAAATCAAGGCACCATTAAGACTTCACATTATGCTCCGTGGAAATGGCATAAGAACATCCCGGAGACTCGAGTGTGAGATGAAACGGAAGGGGCTTTAGAATGAGACAGGCCTAGCCGTAGCCTGTGCCCTAACTGCTGTAAATTAGCCATGCAGCCATGGCAAGTTACTTCACTATCCTCATTTATAAAATAGATTATTCTGCCTTGATAATCATTACTCTGCCTTAAAGAACTTAAAAAAAAAGTACATAGTATTTAGTCCTGTGCTTGTCACTCAATAAATTGTGATGATCATTGTTACTATTAGTAGTAGTAATGTCACCCTGGTTCTTTAAAAGGCTTCAGTACCAAAAAACAGGGGTAAGTCCCCCGTGTCTACCAGCTCTCACCTGTAAGCTTCTCTGCCAGCATATTGAGTTGATCTGAGTTAAGGCCACGACCCACATATGACGAAAACTGCCAGCTCATTACTTCCAGGAGTTGACTTAAAGTGACAGATGGAGGATTATTAAAGAAAACCAAGTTCTGAAATAGAGTTGTAATGATTATATTTATTAATCACATCGAACACACTGTAATTCAATATATAGGATTCCTGATTTAAGCCCTTTAGGCCAACCTAAACTAACAATACAGAATAAAGAAGAGAAACTGGGATTAGTTTGTACGCCAGACTCTGGAGGCAGGCTGTGCACCAACGTTTTAGGAACTGTATGTGATTTGCACCCCCAAATTTCTCATCTGCGAACAGAGAAGAATCTGGGATGGTTAGTGTAACAGATTTGGTGGCTTTCCAATAGAAGAAGAATACTGAAGAAAGCTAAGTGCAGCAAAAACACTTTTAGGCTGGAGAACAGATAGATATATCCTATCTCCTCCCCACA